GGGAACCGAATGGCCGCTCGGAACAACTCTGTAGAGGACTCCAAAGATCCCAAGGGACTCGGGTAGGGATAGAGTTTAGGAGGTGAGAGGCCGAGGATGAGGAGCAGGAGGGGGAGCGATGAGGGATGCGGTAGGATCAGGCGAGGCCGACGATGAGGAGCAGGAGCAGGAAGCAGGATGATATGGTAAAGGGAGCAGGGTAGCAGGGGAGGGAGATACGCCCAACATCGCCACCCAACTCCGCCAACTTGTTGGGCCAACCCATCCAAATCGTGGCGCGACAATGATGCCCAGACGCTTCCGAACAACACAAACACGTTAGGTGAACGCCTGAATCCGAAAGCAAATGCGACTTGGGTGACATGGAATTGCAGCCCGCGCACATGAAAACCGCTCCTGATTTGAACAACTCAAGCCTGATTTGGGCCTTCTTTTGATGAATTCGGGCCTGATTTGGTGAGCAGTGTGGGCCTCCTGGGGCCTCTGGGAGCGAGTGGTGCGGGCATGCCCTGGAGGTGCCATTCGGGCCCTGAGGCCTGAATGGCAGGGCCATTCGGGTCCCGAAGCCTGAACGGCATGTCCATTCGGGTCCTGAGGCCTGAATGGCTGATTCTGACAGGGCCATTCGGGTCCCCGGGACCTGAATACCATGTCCATTCGGGTCCTGGGGCCTGAATGGCCTGCCCTGACAGGCCCATTCGGGCCCTGAGGCCTGAACAGACATACCATTCGGGCCCTGGCGCCTGAATGGAGGTACCATCGGAGCCCTAGCGTCTGACGGGATCAGCTTCAAAACCAGGGCTTATTTCATGCGAAATGGCATGCAACTGGTGCGAACAGAAACGAAAATCAGCTCAACCAATGACGAAAACAAGCCCAACACACCCCGTTCGCAACATGAAACAAGACACAAAAAAACAATAACTATCGCCGATTTCGAGAGGGATACCGTAGATTTCGACACGCGCACAACGCCATCATCATCAGATTCGGCAACATATCAGCATCGTCATTGCCATCTTCATCGATGGTGGCGGGATAATGTGGCCCTCAGCAATGGTGCACTACGGTCTGCCCCTCGTTCTTGTCGAAACCACTTTGTCTCTGTTGTGCATCCAAGAAGCACGGGGCGCATCCGAATTCTTACCCAACAACGCCAACACTACCGTCATCCGTTGCTCGTTTTGGCTCAGACTTTTTGCGAGGCGATGAGAGCTCCTGTCACCAGCCAGGGATATCTCGAGATGTCGTGGGGCTCTCCGACTGGGCTTGACGGAGAACCACCACCGAGCCGTGGCCGTTCGCGCACCCGAGCATGCAGCCATGTTCTTCGAGAACAGCGGCGACGGCGAGAATTGCGGGCCAGTCAGCTGGATGGTGATGCCATCCAAAACCAATTGCTTCAAGCATGGTGATCAAGTCTACGTCGCAGAAACTACTACAGGCTTCTGTTCGCGGAAGGAGGAAACTTTATGCAAGCTCCATGGGATTGTGACGTTCAGCTGTATAAGGACCATCAGCGAGTCCGACTTCATGAACAACTTCAAAAAGCACAGGATGACAGAGGCGGAACTGGACAACGTAATCAGCAAGGACAGGCGGAAGGGCAAGGTCATATGTGCGGAGTTCAAGGATGCGCAGAAGCTTGACGAGCCTCTCATGGTTGCACTGAGGATCAACAAATGTAGCAGGGGCGCAACGTTCTTGCGAAAGCATGCCATTCCAGCGGGTACCTTTAAGGCCACTCAGCAGCTCCTGTCCTTCCAGCCCATGACGCGCGGCGGACAGGACGCCGCGGCCGACGGGCGCTTGCAAGAGCAGCAGAGCACCACACCTGCTGCGGCCCCAGCTGCTGCGGCTGCTGCGGAGAGTGGCGCCAGCAACGACGCGGCGGCACCCATAGCTTCAACGGCTTCGAGGGCGCTGGACTCGCGCGACTCACCTGGGAGGCTGAAGCGCGAGGATGGCGAGGATGGCGAGGTTGCTGAGGAGCCGCCGCGGCAGCCGTCGCTGCTGCCACAGCCGGAGCTCGAGCAGGAGGGCCCGCCGAGCTCCCCTGCTCAGACGCTTCCAGAGGAACCGCCGCAGCAGCCGCAGCCCCAGGCGAATGACGTCCTGGAAAATGGTGACAAGAAGGAGTCCAAGAGCGAGGATACCGAGGCTGCCGAGGCTGCGTGCGAACCTCCCCCATTGGCGACCACGGGCAATCGACAGCCTGAGAAGCAATCTGATCATGATGATGCGAGTGATAAGGAGGCTTCGGATCGACAAGGCTTCTGAGGCGCATGAGGGCAGCAACGTCACCGACTACGTCAGCACCGCGGACCGCGCGGAGCCACCGACTGCCGACTTCGAGCGCCACGTCATAGACAAGCTGACCAAGGAGGAGGGAGAAGACGTCTTGCTTCGCATCGGGCGCAACTTGGGCGATATGACGATGTCCACGGCCTTCAGTGGCGTTGGCACTCCAGAGGTCAGCATTAATTTATTGCATTATCGTCTTCAAGGTATCCTGCCCAACGAGAAGCTGAAGCGGCCCAAGATGCTCTCCGCTTGCGACTTCAACAAGGACTGCCAGATGGAGCTCAAGTTGCTGATGCAGGAGAGCGGTGGCTGTGTATTCGGAGACATAACCGACTTCTGGTCAGACGAAGCGGTGCAACTTATCAAAGACAAGAAGATCACCAGCCATACCGCGTTGAAGATGCTGGCCCCTTTGGTGTTCGACGGTAAGGCTGTCAAGCTTTCTGCGAGGTGTCATGCTCACAACTGCATCTGCGAGCTCAAGGAGGCACACCGCCACGTGGCAGGCAATCCCTGCACCGACTTCACAGCACTGGGTTCCCAGCAGGACGTGCTAGGGCCAACCATATTCTGCCTGCTCGCGTGGGTAAGCCTGAGGCTCCGTCTTCAAGAATCACTGGTCGTTCAAGAAAACGTGAAGCAGTTCGCGACGGATGTGCTGGCTAAGTTCTTGGACAAGATCTACTTCATCGATGTCGCCAACACCGATCCACGATCCTTCGGCTTCCCAATTGCCAGGGAGAGAAAATACACAATCCTCCGGCACCGCCAGAAGAGCATGTCTGATATCCATCCGCTGTCAAGATTCTTGCGGAGGTTTTATACCATGAGCAAGTCGACGTGGCGCGACTTCTTCTTCATGCACAAATACCCGCAGAATGCCTACGACAACCCCATCATCAAGGACGAGCTCAACGAGGAGCTGAAGTGGGCTTCGACACAGAGGCGCAACAGCTTGAGGTACCGGAAGGGGCCCCTCTCGACGGATGATCGCGATGCCTTCTGGTGGTCGTTGAGCCCCTGGGAGCAGGAAAACGTTAAGACCTATCGGAAGTCGTTTCCAGGAGCAGCGTGGTCATTGTCTCAAGATGGTGCTACGCATCACCAGATGTCCTCATCTGGTGACAACATGCAGACCCTTGTGAGCAAGATGGGCCTCATCTACGCCGAGCTGCCCTCTGGAAGCCGCTGGCTTTGCGGCACAGAGGCTTTGTTTGCCCAAGGTTTTCCTGTAAACCCTGCATTTGTACTGGCGCACATGAGCGCGGGAGGCACCCCTCTCTGTAGCTTTAACGTTCGTAGGCCTCCCGATGAAGCGTGTCGCAAGTGCCGCAACGTGTGCGCAGAATCTGGGAACGCAATGCACGTTGCAATCATCATGCTATCGCAACTCTACTGTCTTCTGTATGGCCAGACCGCGCCAACGAGTCCTGTCCCTCAGCCAGCGTGCCAGAGCCTTGACCGAATCCGAGCCTTCAAGAGGAAGTTCGATAAACTCGACAAGAGCTCTCAGAGCTAAGTAAGCTGCGAGGCGCGATGCTAGAACAGACAGAGGCTCTTTCCTGTGGCAGCCCAGTGTCAGGCGGTCTTGACCTCGAAGAATCTTGGCAGGCCGTGCGCACGCTGGCGGGATAAACAGAGGGCTGAAGGGGTAGTCTCAGCCTGAGGGGTAGCAAAACAAACAAGCAACCTCATCAGCATCATCATCAGCATCAGCATCAGCATCATCAGCATCAGCATCAGCATCAGCATCATCACATCCCACTGCTGAAGTGAAGAGAGGTAGGGGTGCCCAAGCAACCCAATTAGACCGTGGCCCTTGCAACCTGGAAAACCCTTCGGACCCCTTCGGAGCCTTGCTGGAAGAAAGCCGCTTCAGACGCCTCAGACGAGGAGGATGTAGGATAACGGGGAGCAGGGCGCCCAAGCAGGAGTGTAGAAATCGAGAGGGTGAGGAGGAGGAGGAACGGGAGACAGAGCAGCAGAGCAAGCACGCTTTACATGACAAGTAAGTAGAGGGAGGTGGAGGGAGGTGGTGGGTGGGTGGGTTTTTTGTAAGGCCAGACGGAGTCATGGCAGATGCTGCCGATGTGGCTGCAAGATCAAGTGGTAGTGCTGCCAGCGCCACTCTCCAAGCTGCCCAGAACGTCATTTACCGCGCGGACCTCTCCATGAAGGAACGCTATGGCCCCCAAGGCGGACAGATCTGGGAAGACGGTGTGTGGGCTGACTTCGAAGATAAAGATGGCCCTGTCACCACCCCATGGTACAACGAGGCAGGCGGTAAGAACATCATCGCAGCGGACGAGAATCGGCCGCTGCAGGTGGCCACCGTGGAAGAGTACAAGGAGGGGATACTCGCAGACGGCCTGAATCAGGGATCTCGGGGTGCGCCGTGGATGCAGTGGGGCCCTGGCAAATCTTTTCCTGTGCGAGCCCTCACGTGGAACCACCTGAAAGAAGCTTTCTACAAGGCTCACGCGGAACAACCAGATAATCCATACGTTCAGATTGCTCTCAAAGCTGGGCTGAAGAACGCGCGGATGCTCCACTCGGGGAGCTAGGGAGAACCTTACGAATTCCACCATCTTCACACCAAGACGAAGAGCTACAGAAGAGTTCGAGATGGCTTCAACTCGAAACCATTTCGAACTCTTCAGGCGGCTCGTCTTGTGTGAAACCTAGGTGGAACTCGAATGAGGTTCTCCACGAGGACACCGAGGAACGTCGTGGAGTACATGTGCAGTCGCCACAACAAGTACCACAAGGGGAGCAAGACCACCCTCGAGCAGATGATGAGTATCGCGATGACTACTGAGGCTACGTGGCAAGGAAAAAAAGATGGAGTTGATGCTTACAATCCAGACTACGAGAAGCTATACCGCAAGTGGGTCGCCGATAACGCAGAGGAGCCCATGAACAATTGGGGACTGTTCACAAGCACCAAGGGCCTCTGCCACAAACTCGACAGATTCGAATGCCAACAAGCGTTTCGCAAATGGTGCAACAGGTCTGTTCGGTATCTTCACGACAAGCTCGATCACAAAGGTGCTTTGCACATCATGAATGCGATCGGCGTCAGCATTATCAAGCACATGCCACCGACAGCCAACAAGAAGGACACCAGCATCGTGATTCTGGAGGCTCTTGCTTTTGCAATACCCGTTCGGCCTTCGGATGAGCAGCGGAGGCTTCCGTGGATATTCCAGGCGATGGATCACGTCCAACTGGTTAGCGCGCTCGGCGTGGACATGACAGAGAGCGTCGCGTACAAGCAGAGACAGGTCGAGAAGGAGCAAGCTGAGCAGGACGAGAAGCGCGGCAAGGAGGGTGGCAAGAAGGAGGCGGGTAAGGGCAAGGCAAGGAGGGCGTCCAGCAAGCCACCTCCTCCCAAGAAGGCGAAGACGACGACCAGTACCCTGGGGAAAGCGGGGAAAGGAAACAAGTTCACATTCTTCAACGAGATCATCGATTTGCTGCAGGCGGGCACTGAGATCTTCAGAACTGAGAATGGCGAGTCAGGTAAGCTGGACACCACGCTGTTGCAGGACCTCGACATCATTCACCACAAGACAACGAGCTACTCCTTGGAGTTCGCATTCAACGGCGTCGTGACGGTCCACAAGGAGATCAAGGCGTGGTCGCAGTGCAGGGCTGTACTGCTGGGAATGTTCACGAACAAGGGGTCCAAGACGGAGTACACTCAGGCCGAAGAGGACGTCGAGGTGAACGAGGGTCAGCCTCTAGAAGACGAGGAGAAGGATGAGCTCAAGGATGGCGACGCCAAAAAGAATCCAGACGAGGCGCTGCTCTCCCTGTTGGAAGCCGACAAGGAGATCTGTGACATGCTGACTGGGATCGTGGGCGACTTCACGGGCGATGTGCCTTTCTCATACCACCGCGAGCTCCGCAAGGCTGGGGACCAAATCGGTGACACTAAGGCGAAATTGATTTCTTCAACTACCATTCCAACATTCCTGAGAACATGGTCCGAAATTCTGTTCTCGATCCTCCCCGAGAAGATGATGAATATCATCAACCGGCTGTCTGTGCACGACCCGAAGGGTCAGTACATCCCCGCCATCAAGGACGAGGTTTCGCTGGAGTACGCTCTCTCCCTGCGCCCTCACTACATGATGCAGGCGCTGGTGGCCGCATTGGATGCGGGTGCGATCCCTACTGGCCCTACCTTCAAATCGCTGACCGACCTGGCCTCCGACATGAAGATCAATATGAAAGGGACGGCGCGCGAGTGCAATCTTGACTCAGTGATCATTGCGTTCGACCTCAATTTAGATACGAAGGAGAAGTGGGTGCAGAAGTGGGGAGATGTGCTGATCACGGCGTCGTCGATGGGCCAGCTGAGCCGCATCGTCAACGAGAAGGTCGAGAATAAGCAGGAGAGCCTCGCCGAGATACAGGCCGAGACACCGCTGGAGCGACCAGGGCAGAATCTCGATCTCGATATCGACCTTGAGGGTACCATCATTGATTAACGCACGGGGCATTATTTTGATCTGGCGGTGCCGCAATTCGTGGCACAGGAACCTTATGCGAAATCATCGGCATGTGTAAAAATCCGTTTGGTCCCGTGGGTCCAGTGGGTGAGTGAGTTCGGGGATGGTGTCGGGCCCTGCGGGCCAGCGTGGAGATGATTGGCCTAGGTGTTTGAGAGTTGACATGGACCTTCCCTTTGACAAAAGGAAGGTCCATGCCATCTTTCAGGGGGGCCCTTTGTTTTCGCAGCCACACCTTGAGGAGAAGCCCATGGACCCCGTGGAAGTTGTCGAGGTGGAGCCAGAGGCGCCGCAGATCGCAGAGGTCAGCCTGGAGCATATCATGGGCCTCGCGGATCAGGCCGTGTCCTCCGCGAAGGAGTCCATCGACACCCAGGAGCTCGGCTTTGGTGAGGGGCTCGCGATGACTGATGTGAAAATGCTTGAGAACAACATCTCGAACCTCTACTGGCGCAAGCTGGCTGAGAAGAAAGACATCTGGCCCAAGATCGTATTCCGCAAAGGAGTTGGGAACAAGGCGACGACAGAAGTCGTGGCTCTTAAACGGCAGACCCTTGACCCGAACACGTTCGTGATGCCGTACGCTGGTGATGTCACCTGCACGCCCGCCAAGGACGGCATCCCCGTGTGCCACATTCTTGGGCTGCAGTTCTTCCTCGTCCCTGGAAGTGCAGGGTCGGTCGCCTCCGAGGCCCCTGTCCCAGCGTGGATCGTAAAGACTGTTACTCGCGCAGATTCAGCTACCATGGTCCGCCACGACGGCACGTTCACAGCGTATCTCGACTCCAACCTGAGCATCTTCGAGGGCAAGCCAGAGGGAGGGAAGATGGTCCAGATCGAGTTCAACAACCCCGTGCTCAAACTGAAGGAGGGAGAGGTGGCCGACAACACGGGCGACATCGTGCTGACGCGCACGCTGACCGACACCGAGAAGACGCAACGTGCTACGAGAAAGTTCCTGGGCGGCACGGACTTGGCCTTGGCCCTGCCATCGGCTTGCGACATCATCGAGACGAAGTTGAAGGCCTTGGCGGAGGGCCTACTAGCACAGGCACAGGCGCCCACATCAGAGTCCAAGGATGCGGCGGCGAAGTTCGTGGACCCGAAAGGGTTCAAGCACCTCTTGAAGTGATAAGTGAGATGAGTGAGGAGAAGGATAGTGAGTTTCGGTCCGAGGCTCTGTGGCTCTCGGACGCAGCGTGGTGATGGAAGTGTTGCAACAGCTCGAGCTTGAGTGTGCTCTCGACAGACAGGCAGGAAAATCAGCAAACACCAAATGACTCCAACTAGCAATTCAGATCAGCAATACGAAGCTCACACTGGTACAAAAAACAGCCCGTAGCAACAGCTTGAACCATGGCAAAGTGCAACAACATTAGCCTTGAGCCTGAGCCTTCACAACCACATCGGGAAACGTGCGCAAAGTGTACACGAAGGTGTTTGAGGGACAGGGCAGGTAGATCATGATAAGGAGGATCAGCTTGAGCATGACAAGGACGATGAGGAGGTGGAGGAACAGGAGGAGGAGGAGGGCGAGAGGAGAAGGAGAAATCAGGAAGGAGGAGGAGGAGTAGGACGATGGAGGCAGAGGAGAAGGAGGGCGAGAGGCTCGAGGAGGAGGAGGAGGAAGGAGGAGGAGGAGGAGGAGGAGGAGGAGGAGGAGGAGGAGGAGGAGGGGGCCTCAGAGGGGCACCCCTGTAATTAACGTCACATGCGTCAGAGGGGGCACCCCTGTAACGCCAGGCTGGCAGTAGAAAGGGGGAGAGTCGGAGAGAGATGAGGAGGAGGAGGAGGAGGGGGAGGACAGGAGGGAGGAGGGAGGAGGACAGGATGAGGACGAGGAGGAGGAGGAGAAACAAGAGGAAGGAGGAGGAGGAGGGAGGAGGAGGAGGAGAGGAGGAGGAGGAGGAGGAGGAGGAGGGAGGAGGAGGAGGAGGAGGAGGAGGAGGAGGAGGAGGAGGAGGAGGAGGCGGTGCCGCGGCGGTGCCGCGCCCTTCGCGCTCGGGACGGTCGTGGTCGCGCAGGCCGCGGCGGTTGCCGCCCCGCTGCCGCCGCCGCCGCCGCCCGGTGGAGGTGGAGGAGCGGAGGGGAAGTGGAGGAGGATGAGGAGGAGGAGGAGGAGCGAAGGAGCGAAGGAGGAGGATGCGAGGAGGAGGATGGTGAGCAGGAGGAGGGTGGGGAGTCCAGGAGGAGGAGGGAGACGAGGAGGAGGAGGAGGAAGAGGAAGAGGAGGAGGACCAGAACGATGAAACAGGGGCGAATGAGGATGAAGATCAGGAGTTTCAGGCTCAATCTCGACCCCGCCATCGCCGAAATAAGCCCTCAAACCCTACGTGGGCCTCGAGAGGCCATTCTTAGCCTCGTCGGCCTCTTGAGGCCATTCGGGCTCTATGAGGCCATTCGGATATGCCTTAGGATGCTTCCCAAGGCTGTTCGGGCGGACGGGGGGCCGAATGCAGTGTGACACTCACTGTGTGCGTAAGCACGTCCCCAGTAGTAGTAGTAGAAGAAGAAGTAGTAATAATGGTAGTAGTAGTAGTAGTAGTAGTAGTAGTAGTAGTAGTAGTAGTAGTAGTAGTAGTAGTAGTAGTAGTAGTAGTAGTAGTAGTAGTAGTAGTAGTAGTAGTAGTAGTAGTAGTAGTAGTAGTAGTAGTTGTAGTAGTTGTAGTAGTAGTAGTAGTCGTCGTAGTAGTAGTAGTTGCAGAACTTGTGGAGGGTGTAGTAGCATTAGTAGTGGTAGTGTCAGTACAATTCGTAGTATTAGTAGTAGTACTTGTGGAGGGTATAGTATTACAAGTAGTAATGGTTGTAATAAAAGTAGTAGTAGTAGTAGTAGCAGCAGTAGTAGTCGTAGTAGTAGTAGTAGTAGTAGTAGTAGTAGTAGTAGTAGTAGTAGTAGTAGTAGTAGTAGTAGTAGTAGTAGTGCTACTAGGAATAATAGATGTAGTACGACTAAGATTCGGAGTAGTAGTAGTAGTAGTAGCAGAATCTCTCGGAATCTCTCAGAATCTCTCAGAGGCTAGCAGTGGCTCTCAGAACCTTGCAGAAGCTTGGAGCTTTGCAAAGGCTCCAAAGTGGTTGGGATCTCACGCGTCCCACGTGTCCTTGACGGTTGGGATCTGAACCGTCCGGTTGGGATCTCACGCGTCTGGTTGGGATCTGAACCTTTCTCGTGAGACACACAAATAAATACACACAAATTCAAATATTCCCCATATTTTCCCATATGTTCTGGGTTTTTTGTCCTCCCCCACACTTCCCATATTTTCCCATATTTTCTATGAAATCGACCATTAATTGTGTCTGTGTGTTTTTTCCCCTCCTGATCCTCCTCCTCCTCCTCGCCCCGTACTCTTGGAGGCGGCAGGGCGCGCCTCCCGAACTTCATCCGCCGGCACCGGCGGCCCGGCCGCTCGCAAAAAACTCTTGAGCTCTGCAGTGCGCGCCGGCGGTGTTGGGTAGAGTGCAGCGGTGAGCAAGAGACAGGGAACTGGCCATCGCTAGGACGTCCATTCCCTGTGCTTTTTTCGGTTTCGTGCGTGGTTCTTTCGCCAAATGATCAAGGATGCTCCTCCATGGTCCTCGCCGAAGGAAACAGGCACACGTCCGAGCGATGCCAGGGGGACACCGCAGAAACAAAACCATGGGCGACGGGTGGCCGAATGTCCGAGAGGGCAATGACAAAGCGGAGCGTATATGGCTTGGGCGCCCGAGTTATTCGGGATAACTCGGGTCCGGGGTAACTCGGGTTTGGATTCCCGAGAAAGGAACCCAAGTTATCCCTGACCCGAGTTACCCCTGATGATTCGGGGCTCTGGACGCCCGAGTTATCCGGGGTAACTCGGGTCCGGGGTAACTCGGGTTTGGAATCCCGAAAAACGAACCCGAGTTATCCCTGACCCGAGTTACCCCTGATGATTCGGGGCTCTGAATGGCTGTTGATGGGGGGCGATAAAAAAAAACAGTTCCGCGCTTCCCCAGCACGACGTCTGCAGTGGCTGCGGCGTGAACGGCCCCGCTGCGGGTGGACCCTCGGCAGCTCGTGAAGCAGGTTCCGAATCCTCTGCTCCAAGAGCAGCTGCTCCAGCTTTCGTAAGAAAGGGAGGGGGGTCTCATTTCGGGGGGGGTCTCTTCCAGGCCATCTTGGAGGGCCTGGGGGGGTCTGGGGACGATGTCTTGGAGGGTTCTCCCACGGGTGAGGTCTGAAATGGCTCGTCTTGGAGGGTCCAGACCCCCTCCCTTTTATTACGAAATCTGGAGTACACTGCGGCGGGTTCGTGCCGTGACGACCCCAGCGCTGGTTTCTGCCACCACGAAGCCCAGACACCCGGAGCCTCCAGCCCAGGAGGCCGAAAGACCGAGAGCCCCGCCGGCAGGGGCCGGCGCCACAACAGGCACTCGCCTATAACTGTACGACCGTACCTTATAGCACACCTCGATCCCCCTCGCTCTCCTCTAGACGGTCTCTCGCCGTCTCGCTTGCATTAGCCACTGGCCGCCACCGCAGCAAGTTGGCGCGAAACTGGCACCCTTCGGGCGAACCGGCATCCCGCTGGACAAACAAACACTTGCCCAGACTTTCGCTGCAATTGCTCCGAGATCGGCGGTCCAATGATGGGGGCCTGAGGGATAGGGCCTTAAGACTAGGAAGTGGATCAAAAGTTGAACCCTCACTGTTTGAAGTTTCTGTCCTCAACGCCCCATCCCTCAGGACGACATATTTGAACCTCCGACAAGCATGCCTTAGTACCCCAGCCTAACGTTCACTGCCATGGGGCTTGAACCAAACGACTGACTCGACCGCGCCTTGGCAAACAACCCGAGGCTTAAGCATCACGGACGTCCCGATCTCCCCACAGATCGGCAGTCGTCCACAGCAAGAGCCGAGAGCAGCAACAACAGACACAACTACACATGGCACTCTGAAAGAACGCATTACAACATCGCTGGCCCTGGAAGCTTCTGTTATATAAGGGCAG